TGCGCGTGCGTCTGTGTGTGCGCTTGCGCTGCGCGTGAGCGTCTGTGTGTGTGTGCACGCGTGCGTCTGTGTCTGTATGAGTGTGTATGTGTGTGTGTGTGAATGTATATGTGTGTGTGTGAATGTATATGTGTATGTGTTTGTGTATGTATATGTGTATGTGTTTGCGTATGAGTGTGTGTGTACACGTGCGTCTGTGTGTGTGTGTGCGCGCGGGCGTCTGTCTGTGTATTCCCAGAACGTTCAGCAGCACAGCGGGCTGAGTACTGTCTATGGATGTTCTTTTGTCCGGTAGCTGTGTAGAAGACGGTAAAAGCAGTTTTTCACTACCGCCGCCTCTGCTACTGATATCGATACGGCGGCAATATGCTTGTGTCTGCCGTCATCGGCAGCGCTAGGTCGGTCCAATGCAGCATGAGCTCCTCTCGCTTCTTACCACGTGGTCTACATTTAGTAAAAGGGAGGAGGACCAGAGAGGGTTGTTTCTGTCTCGACGCCTATTAGCACAGCCGCGTATCCTGTCGGCCATCACAGTTCCACTTCGGCCTCTCGAGGAGAGCGTCGAGCTGAGATTTGCGTTGGCACGAACATCAGACACACGTCAGTAGTTTGTCTGCTGCAGGCGCATATTTAATTACAACCCTACCTTCCTGAGCTCGCAGTTACCTGCCTGGCGACGTGGTTGCAGCACGTTCATCTAAAGAGGAACGCACAATACAATTTCCGCCGTTTCTACGTAAGCAATAACGTCCGAAGCTACCGTTTCGTGTGTGGCCAAACTCTGATTCTCGTGCGGTAGCAGCAACGGTAGTGCTACCGATTGCTGTATTATCATCGCCGTCGATTTTGTGTGTTCGAACTGGTTTAGTTGAGCCAGCGTGTTGTGCCAACACCTGCTACGTTCCGAAGCGACGGTTTATACCTAAGCCATTCACCATGCGAGTCATCAATGGTGAGTGAATCGCTAGTTGAACAAGTAAAACTTCCAATTTTCAGTTGAGTATTAAGTCTATGCATTTGTCCTTGCCTACATATACACGGTCTACGGCAGTATGATGGCCGTAATGAAGCTTAAGAAGCGTGTGAGTCACATCGCCGTTTCTCCAATGGAAGCTAATCGGGAGGTCAACGATTGGGCAGATGATAATGTTCCTGTCATTTTAACAACTTCCTATCCACTGGCTCAGTCATTCAGACGTCATCGGAGCAGAAATGTCTGTCCGCCAGGCACTTGAGCAACAAATAGGAAGGGGAGGAAGAAGGATTTTAGGACGCTAGGAGATCAGAAGCAAAGTTCTGTTTTGGAGGGAAGGCAGTCAGATCATTGTACTCGAAACTGCTCGTCTTCGAAACGCCAGACCGATAGCGACAGTTACAGTAGTAAATTCTCAAGTCGCATAAGTGAAACCGAAGATAACAGCAGAAATGGGATTGGAATCGTTGCTTTAACATTTTGCCGCCAATTCCCCATTAACAAATCAAATTCGCGGCAGTTAGCTTAATGCTCCCCAACAAATATATAAGATAGATTGCGTACGCGAATATATGCGAAACATACTTGAAACGATGGTGCCTGTTTGGCACGAACGTTAATATCAAGATATTTTTTTTATACTTTTTCAGAGCAACATGGTTTTCATTGAACTCCACGAATATTTAATAATAATATTATTATTATTATTATTTAACACGTTGTTTTAGCATCTTGCATTCAGTTTTCTTAAACCGATGTACTTGAGACACATTTCGAGCCTTTCACTGAATGCCTTCTATAAGGAGCCAATGGTACAACATAATTATCGGTGAATAACTCACGTTGTTCGGCATTCATAAGCTTGTCACGATTATCAAATCTAAATGGATTTCGAACTGTTATGTCTATGCGCTACCACTAGGCACCGCTGCAAGCGGCTGGTAGTTCCTCCCGATGCAGTATATTAGGAAATTATCCAGTTGACAAATATGACCAGTTATGCGAGAAACGATATTAAGTTAAATGTCTTACCTAAAACACGTTCCGTTAGCGAACCTGATAGAACTTGACACATCTTGCCAAAACGTCTTATTACATCAAACAAATAAATTACATTTGCTCTGGTTACAAGAATAGCATCTTCATATTCAGCAAAACGCCTTATCTACTTGCTACATTCAAATGTAATCGATATGCTGCCAATGGGCGCATGTATTCTATCATCTACCATTTATAGCTTTGCAGCTATTTTTCAACTTGTTTGATATCGTCTAACTCACCTAACTTCCACGAGCATTAGCAATCGTCTATAAGGTGTAAGCTACGACGACTTCGTTTTATCGCTCGCACAACACGTGAGCGCTCTGCTGCTGAAAGCAATCAGACCCAGGTCCGTGTCTATTTTCGCGTCATTGGGGTTTTCTAGCCAGTTTGTGTAGGCAGCGCCCCCTATCTGCAACCAGGCTGTTACGGCTACAGCAAAACCATAGCATTTTTGTGGCCGACACCAATTGGCGTGCTAATCGGTTTTGTCCGACTAATCGAAAACTGGAAAATCCACCGTTCAGTTTACTCGTTTCCGCGCCAGTTCATCTGTGTAAGCTGACGAGGTCAGCGACGGTGCTCGGACTAGAAGACTTAAGTTCTCTTCGCTGAAGTTCTTTGCTTTTGGCAGCACAAATAATTTTAGCAGTTCGAAGTTGAGAAGCGGTGGTTTGCTGCTACTTCAGTCGTTCGTGTCCGCCTGCCCACTTTCGCCAGGTTGTAATAGTAACAGTTGTTCTAGCCGTAAGCAACCATACACACAGTACTACACGTTTCTACAGATAAAAAAACAATACCGCAAACCTAGCAAAAACAATGACAAGAACAACAACGATTCAGGCAGCAAACACATCTATGGCTGCAACAGTTACAGACTAACGAAGCAGTGTTACTCTGAAGTCATTTCCGTGTTCTTTGAAGTGTTACGCACCGCGATTCTTGGTTGTGTGAGAGTTGGTCTGTGACTGAAAAGTGACTGTTTGTTAAGTTGTTGTGCTCAACAATGAGCGAATAATGGCAGCACTTCGTTGATAAGAGGTGTGACGAAGAGAGGTAGCACTTAGAATACTTCGAGGGCCGTGAGTAACCAGCAGATCAATATTTGAGAGAAGCGCTAAGCGGGTTGTCTCGATCAGCTGTTCGAACTTCTTTCAGTCTTCATTATACAGGTATCACATGCCTGTGTTTGCTACGATGGTTAAATGCTGTCCTGTATACGGTCTCACTGTTATGAAATGGGATGAGTCCTTGGATTACTCAAGTTCTTGACGGCGATTGAGCCATTGAATATTTGCTACTGTCCAGGTTGCCCCGCATCACTATTGACATACCATAGATTTAATTAGGAAAGAAGGGTAGGTTTGTTTCTTTGTTTTGTTTCGACAAGATACTAGATTGCGCTGCGAACAGCGGGATAGCCGAAACGACAGACGCCTATGAAGAATCGCCAACAGTATTGACGGTGCTCGGCCAGTAACGTATCGTGCCAGTACCGCTGTTTCCCGTTTAATGAGGTATGTTGACATTGTCTTTGCCCTCTCTGCTTATGGCAGAGCAATCCTCTCTCGAGGGTAACGTTCGCCGGGCACCGAGATGATCATGAATAACAAGTGGCAGAGGGCTTATAGAAAGGGGACCGCACATGCGCTTATTACTCGTGTTCAAGCATGACAGAACTTGGTAACCAGAGATGTCGCCACTGTAGCGGGTTTTTCCGTTAAAGCACCATTTACTGAGGATATGAGTCTGTTAATTCAGTTAGCGGCTGAGAAGGGTAACACGTAAACGAGTGAAGGCAATATAGCTATTGTAAAGTTACGTTGTATTCGATAATACTGTAAGCAGCCATCAGTGGTGCAAATCTGGACGTTTTGTATAGAGCAAAAAAATCGCTGAATATGGATTCGTGCATATGACTGATACTTCGAATATCTCAAATTGGAAACTCCCGGAGGTTCAAGAGGGGATTTAATAGAATTTGGTCAAGGCATGGCTTTCGCCCTGAGTGTATCATATGTTTTGGAAAGGAATATTTTTAGGTTATTAACCCGTACGTCTTCGGATAAGTTTAGAAAACGCTGTTTATTCGTGAAGTTAACTGTTTCCTCGACTTCTAATGTGAACGAGTCTAATAATGAAAGTTCAGGTTGGTTTTCGTAAAATGTATGTCGTGTAATTGCGTTCTGTACCGTGTACGGATACTTGTCTAAATGGTGTTACTGTTGTTTGTGGTGACATCTCTGAAAAAAAAACAAGGATCTTTGCACAGTTCTTATTGCAAACCTATAATTAGTGGGATAATTAACATTCTCGAATGTTTTGCACCATCTAATAAATGATTTTAGGAAGCCTTTCTGTGGTGCAGATGTCGACGTTTCGTCCGCTCGTTTTCTGTGGACCATCGGGAAGCGGCAAGTCGACGCTTCTGAAGCGGTTGATTAACGAACATGAGAAATGGTTTCAAGTCAGCGTTTCTCGTAAGTGTCCTTTACGGTATTAATACTTCCGTGTGTTCAGTAGAAACTAGGCACTTATTGGGAAAGAGGTAGTATTATGGAACTCACAGATATATCTATAGAAACTGTTACAGATCTATTTTTCACTTAATTATGTTAACTACTACGTTTGCTTAGATACAACCCGTAAGCCTCGTCCTGGCGAAACAAATGGAAAGGAGTATCACTTCGTAACATCCGAGGAAATGGATAAAGCAATTGCTCGAGGCGAATTCATCGAGCACACTAAATTCTCTGGAAATATGTATGGCACAAGTAAACGTGCCGTAGAAGACGTAATTAAAGAAGGACGCATCTGTGTCCTCGACATCGAGATCGAGGGGGTGAAAAGCATAAAGAACACCAACTTCAACCCGCGATGCGTCTTCATTAAGCCACCTTCCCTTCAGGTATGGGCAGGTTCAAGTTTAAGAAAGCATTAAAGGTTCTGAGAACAGCTTCGTTCTCATTTGTTTGCGTTTGATTTGGCTCTAAGCAAGGTATGTAAGGTATTTTTTTATTTACGATCATGTAATTGTGTACAGGTCTATAGTATTACTAAGGACCGTATGGTGGCCTCGTTAGGGCTAAAAAATTATATACAGATAAAGGGGATATGATCTATTAATCCATTTATTGCCATTGAACAAATTCAGATTCTCGAAGAGCGACTAAGAAATCGTGGTACAGAGACGGAAGAAACTTTAAAAAAACGCCTTAGTCGAGCTGCGCTTGAGTTGCAATACGGAGAGGAACCAGGCAATTTCGATCTTGTTATTGTCAATGACAACTTCGAAGAAGCTTACGAGAAGCTTGAGAACTTCCTTATAAAGGTAAAAATGTTGCAGTATATCTTCGCTAATGCTACAGTGCTCATACTTCCGGAAATGTAACTAACGCATGTACTTTAACCTATTTGTCTGACAGATCTAAATATAGGGTGTATTTTCAACTCTGTTCTATCACGCATAATATCACTCAGAGCTGTAAGCACTGTTACACGGAATCAATGCCAATGAACGAGGACTCACGCGTGTTTTCTTCCTAGCCTTATGCGAATTCATCTACCTCTGGTTGAAGCGGATGCATTTGGTTGTCCGCGCATTGAACTATTCTATTAGGTGGCTGTTATTTACTGCTTATTATCTATTTTCCTGCTATATCTGTTTGTCTGTCTGTCTGTCTTTTGTCGATGCTGCTTGGCGGACGCTTGTTAATGGCAATCATGACCGGCTATGGCGAAATGGTGGCGGTTGTGATGTGACGCTCACGACACACGTAATGTTGACGTACGAAACGTATATGTCGTACACATCTACGCCTTCTACCTCTTCGGCCACCGGATCTTCTTGAAATTGTTTTCTTCTCTTCATTGCAAAATTCATGGGGGTAATACAAAAATTAATCGAATTCCAAATCGACGAATACGATCAATAAAATTATCTAATGTAATGGATCAGGAGTACCCAGCGGCATTTTTTGAGCAAGAAAGTTGCTTAAAAATTCAAAAAGGTTGGCAAACATAGCTAACGTAGATACAAAAAAGAGACCTAAAATACGTAAAGTGTGACGTAAAATAAGTGACCTCGTACTCTGCAAATTCACAGGAAATTGAAGAACTCTCAGGGAAAAAACCCGAGTTCTGAGAGTGAATCAGTTAAATGAACTGTCTGCCTGTGTAGGCGACCGCAGATCGCGAAGATGGAACGGGACACGATCAATGCAAAAGGCAGGCCGCATACGTCAAAGAAGGAACAACAACACAGTAGCTGGACAACAAGATTCGAACAACATGTAACGACAAAAACACAGACAACGTAAAACGACGTTAAAAAGAGAAATATCAGAAAAGATTGCTCTCATGTCGATTCGGTTGATGAAGTATTTCAAGATATAACCAACTGACTGGACCGAAGAAAAGACGGTATATTTAAATTGTGATCATAAGCAGATTGCGGGCTTCGTACTCGTATTATTCGCCTTCGCCACCGTGGCTACGCCTAATGTAAACATAAACAGACAGACTGTAGATGGTAATTGGGTGAAACAACGACCATGTCATATCGTACGCGTTTTCCAGTTCTACAAAACTAGTTTTTAATACTTTGCATAAAAAAAACGACAGTAAAAATAATGTTAGTAACAACTTGATGGCCCTGCCTGTACATAACTCTGTCCTTATCGACCGATCGTATTGATTTAAACGAATATTATAAACAAATATTTGTTTGATTTCACTTTTTTGTACATGTTACTATAGCTCACAAAGAATACAAAAAGCATCTATCTATTGAATGAGAATGCCCGTAGAAGGAAAAGGTGGAAGACCACTGTTGTTCTCAGTACGCTATATACAGCGCTTACCCATCGTCATATCAGCTTGCGGCACATCTCCCTACAGCGCCAGTTGTTTCAAGAAAAACTGGTTTAATTCGCCGTGTTCGAGTAAATAAGCAAAAATTCAAATTGACTGCCAAATCTCGGAAAACAATAGGGCAGAAACTGGAAAACTGGAAATTGTTGTGGATGGCGGAAGCTGATCGTAAGGTCAAAGTAATGGAACATTTGTCACTATTTCTGATCTCTTACACTAATGGCCTAAAAAGTAGTTGGGGTACGGCTGAGGCGACCTCGTCAGTTTAGTTAGTATGTGTTTCATGTGCTATGCTCATTATGGTTAACGTAGGCATGTGGTTAACTAGAGTACAGACTACCTCTAAACAGACGATATACAACAATGTTTCTTTGGTCTTGTCGACTCTGTCTTTCTATGTATTCCTGGTGATCGAAAAAACAAAGAAGGTTTCAGGCTATTACTCCGTAGCAGTACGGGTAGATACACGGTAGCGAGCAAGATGTGTCATTTTATTATAAATAAGCCGCGTCTATTATCCGATAAACAACTGAGAGCTGTTCTCTAAAAGAGGCTTTTAGGAAGTTTTCTATCGAAAACTGATTCGTAGCCATCAATTAAATTTTTTTAAAAAGCAATTCGTTGCACGTCGAATTGTTGTGTCTCGGGTGTTGAATCTCAAAATAAACCCTGCAGCCTATATTTAGTAAGTCAAAATCGGCAGGACCAAATTAAATGTATTATTGAGTGTATATATTTATAAGTAAATACACGTGCTTTTTTATTACGTTTGTGTAAACCATGTGCTTAGCTAGATCATCATCCGTGTTTATCAAAGATGCATTAAATTTATGTTACTGATGACAAGCTGTTTCTCGACATGACAAAATTGATGGAATCCTGTCTTATCGAAAAAAAAAAAATTGTTGTAGATCCACCAAGATTACAAAGAAAAAAATTCTTAAAATACGTACCCAAAGAGCACTATTCTATCATCTTTCATCGTAAATAGTTGTCTATCACATTTGTCGGTGGGCGCAAACAATTGTTCCTTCATAAATGACGTGGAAGCTCTATCTTATAATTCTAATAAATGGTCTGCCAGTTTTTCCACGAATATGATTTGTACATAATTTTCGCATATGTATGATATAGAAACCGTGTGGGATAAAAACGTGCTTCTCTATGAATGAGCTGTCCAGTCTATGAATGCCTCCCGCGACCTCATAGATTTATAAGGCAAGTATGTAATGTCGCTCGGCACTTGCACAAGTTTCTAAAAGCCCGCTATTATATTTAATAATACTATTTTTAAATTAAATTTAATAATAATCATCGTGAACTAAGCTAGGTTAATCGCACCATGTCCGACTATATATATATATACATATTTTTTTCCATTATTATTCCTTTAATAGTAGTAGAGTTTCGTATAAGCCTACTATGAAATTTGATAAATCTCTTATTCAGATTCTGAAGTACTCAGGACCGATGCGTGTGAGCTTTAGAGCTACTCACATAAAAGCGCATACAGCCATGTGCGTCGGCCAAAGGGAGCGTCATCCACTTAAGATACTCGCGCGGCAGCTATGATATGATCAAGCATGCTGGATACCTCTCACCTGCAAAGTTTTATCTATCAGGCTGTCTCTATAGCAGAGTTCGGGCGTACTGGCTGCTCCCGTCTACTAACAGCCATTTTATTATGTTGATATAGTAGTGGTGTAAGCGCGTTAACTGAGAAAGGGCAAAGGGTTTTCCTTTGGATGCCAATGCCTGAGGCCATCGCCACTGGCAGTTCTTCTGCGTTTACCGGTGTCAAAAGAAGCGGCGCTCGTTTGTTGAGAGCACGCAATTTTCCTCTCGTTTTTTTTCATCGCCATTATAGTTGACTTGATCCTAAAGCAGGTGTTGGGCTCGCTGTGCTCACAACGATTAATAGGTACGTGCGTCCTCTGCCTAATAAACCAGCGTCGATTTCAAGGTAGGTACAATGTGTTTGTATAATATAGATTCATATACGGGATACAGCATGGAAATACGGGCACCGATGCAATTCAGTTGTTGAGACCTATGCCTATAGGGTCTACAAAGCGTTAGCTTTTCGATTAAGTACTAGAGCAGCAAAGCTCGAAATAGGGACGATTATAGATGAGCGCAGATAAGCGAACCGATGTCTGACGGGATGGCTTTCACAAAATGCAACTGACGCCTACGCAAGTTCCTCAATAGCATCTATTCAAGGTAGCCTTGTTGGAAATAGATATACGGACCACGTGGCTACTAGTGGTAGTTAACTGCCTAACATTAAGTAAAAAAGCCATAAAAATTATCGTGTTTTTACCTTGTTTACATTGACAAAACTTAACGATGATCTAACGGGAAAAAAAGGTGGCCAGCGTCTAAACTGTTGTTAGCAATGTTTAATTGGATGGTTAACATTTACATTATTTTAGGTTCGGAAATTGTCATATTTAGCTATACAGTGAACGAGAAACTATAAATTACAGGAAAAAAGATATACGAGGGATTTCGTGGAGGTAGATTAAGCAATCGAGCATACGTCTTCGAGTATCTTATTGAGTTCGTTTCGTTGTTCGGTTTAATCGCTGAGTAACTGCTTGAATAGCCTGAATAGATACTATGGTCCGCTTGTTCCAGCCAAAAAAAAGATCGTTCAAACCCCCTGAGAAAAACATTTTAACCTGTTTTGTCAAAGTATCCATCCATTATGTTCGGACAATGGCAGTTTAGGCATTAGGGCTTCCTTCTCTCACAAGAAGAAGAGCCGATTCTGTTCTCACGCGTGTGTCAGCTGGTACCTACGGCTCGAATAGTGCCAGTCAGTTCTGCTAACCAGACACTACTTCCACTTTCTATCTACCTGAGCAACGAAGATCATCGAATATCTGCACAGGTGTTACATATTCTATCTCGGAAATCTTTGCCGGTTGTCGTCTTTAAATTCTGGTGGGTGGCAACTTGAGTTGCCCGCACAGCGGAAAAGGGTATCATGTACTCATGTCTTAATTACTGCTCGTCTTTGATATAGTTTTTCAGTGAACATAATTAAAAATGTAATCTAGTATATTGAATCTACCCAGCAAAAATAACTTGGTGCGCGATTGAGAACATTAGTTACGACTAGTTTCTTTCAACAACGTCTCACAGGTTCTTTGGTGAGTTTTTCTAAAATAGTGCATTCTGTTTACCCAGATTCTTGTAATACGAACTTTATACTACTATGCCTTTTTGTTAACAATTGTTTTACAAGCCAGAATGGAGTTATCTGTAAACAATCTCTCTATCTTGCTTCTGCTATATCATAGCTGAAGATTAAACGTGCGGCTTCAATACGAGAACGCTTACATTTTTCCGTATATATATAATATTATTATTTATTCTACAGCTATTTAACCTCCGGAGAAAATATTAATACTTCAACATAAGTAGCAAGCGCATTCAAACAAGTCATAGCTACATTATTTCTTTGCCATCTGATTTCTCCGCTCGCTTTCAACCCTCTATTGTGCAATACACTTTCTAGTAAATGTTCCGTGCCCAATTATTTATTGTCTTATCGGTATATTTTGTAAAAGACCATCGGGAAACCCAAAACCGCCTGGCCATTTTGGCCACCGCGCTTGACAGAAAGTGTTTCTTAGTTCAGGAAGACCGTACTGAGTAAGTATCATCATATCGTCACCATTAACTCACACTCCTAACCTGTTATACGGATCGCAATGCCCCAAGGGCGCATGGATTTTGGCATTATCCCTCATAGAATCCGGTTTAGAATCTTCCCAAGCAGAGCTTCTCATATTAACAGCGTCTCCACCAGGCGTAGAATTCCAAATAAGTGTTCTTCGACAAACTTCGGAGCTATACACACCTGTAAGGCTTTTCTGCTGTCCTTTGCCCCAACAACTGCGTCCAACAGAGCAGCGGCTTGCGTGTCTATGCTATTATCTTATTTTTGACCCCATTAGATTAACGATCTCACGCAGGTGCAAGGATGATACAAAACAACCGTTTGCCGTAAGGAGCTTAGGTGACGTCTGTGGTCAGTACCTATTGGTTGAGTCTATAATGTCTGTAAATTAAGTCTTCTAGTTTACTACCTCCTGGTACTGCCATGTCTAAGTCAACCTATGCCAGTGCATTGCAGTAACGGTATTTCTTTTACTGTGACAGTTTAAGGAGGTTTAACTTTCTTACGGTACAGTCACGCGCAAACTGAAGGCAAAATTAAATTCGCTTAAAAAAAGGCTACACTTCGTTTTTTGATGCAGCGGATATACGAAAAAAAAAGGTTCATCATCACTTCAAGAAGTTCAAACCGATAGTTTCGCTTTTACGTCTGCTAACGTAAATCGATAACAATCCCTAGTAATGCATGAAAATCGGACTTCCCTCCTCAGTACGTACAGTAACCCGCATTGTCGACTGGTCTCCATTAGTTTAGTGTGATCCGTGTATACAATAACATGATTGTTTATAGTTCAGGTTTGAGTCAGGTTCAAAACAAACGGGTAGGGCTTTCGTATTCTTAATATATATACATGAATTACTATTATATTAGCAAATCTTAATAGGAGGTACCTTAATTGCACGTTAGAAACTTCAATTGCTGCGATGCTAGACAAATCAATTGTAAGAAATTAAATCACACACTCGTACGTTCCTATTTACTAATGCATTGGTGAACTAGATTTAAATAATAACTCTATTGGAGTGAATAGAGAACAGTGGAGTCATCATTTTTCAAAACTCCCTCTTCAAGAGGAATTGTCTAATACATTTATGTTCGATCGGGCACTTCCAGCTATTTCCTTAACAGTCCATTTATTGGAGCTGTGGATCTCCCTCCCAAACAGAAGTGACTCAGCTCTCAACTAAACTAAAGGTAACGAAGTCTGGAGCCCAATAACATGCACTAAAGCACTCCCTCATCACTTTTTGCAGCTTCTATCTTAGTACTTCTCGAAGGAAGGGAGCATAAATTAATTCTTTTAAGTTAGGAGTGTTCATTTATTGTATAAGTTATTTGCTGGCTGCTGGCGCCCTTCTTCCGATCTTCTTATTCTCTCATTTTTGAATCCCTCTTCTTTGCAGATGATTTTTCTGGAAAAGATTATTTCTTTAGTTCGCCTCTCTGCTGACGCCAACATATGGTTGACAACCTTAATGGGAATCGTAATCCTATCTCTTCTGTCGTTTTGCAGGGCTTCAGATTTGAAGGCAATATATTTTTTCTCTGTTTTATCTGACATGCAGAGCACATATATAGCGTGCTGCCCTCTTCCGATCTTTATCATTTGTCTGGTCAATACTTGTGCAATAGATAAGCTCGCCATTGTTATTGGCCTGCAAAGCCGGGGTAAGGAGCCTTGCCTAGTTTCCGGGTGACCATTATTTTTGCCGTTTTCGTGCTCTGGTTCTCCTTATCTTTGCTAACTCTAGGTCTAATTTTTGTCTCTATCTTTTCTTTCGCCATAAAACCCCAAGCTATAGCCAATGCCACAATCGTTTTGGTAGAAACAGTCCTGTATACCCTCGCCACTCTCTCTCTCTTACTACCCTTTGTGCCGTCTCTCTACTTGGTTGTTTGTCCAACACACAGCACATAACGTTACCGCTTCTGCTACCGACGCTACGAGGCGCGTCGTATCTTTCAAAGAGCGTCTAATTCTGGACATAAATTTGGCCAAGTTAAGTGAACCATGCAGCGTCTTTTCTACTGCATATTGCATATGTTCTGCTCCTGTTTGCTTCGCATCTAGGTATTATTTGTCTATCTGCGTTAAATTTCCCCATACCTTTAGCTCGAATCCTACAAGTTTTCCTTTATCTGTTAAGTAGAATGGTCAGCTTTTTACAGACGCCACTTGAAAAAAGCGATTTTTTGTCCAGTGAACCGTGAAGACGAAAGCCTGATTCGTTTTGTCGTCCAGTTCCTCAGTCTGCGTTGTTATAATGGGTACCAAATCGATGTAGCTAATGGCAAATATGGTATGCTTGGCACCTCATGATAGACAAGATTCCACAAGGTTGATTCTAGATCCAAACTTTGTAGAACTTCCGCTCTAAAGTTTTTCTTTAGCACCCAACCTAAAAACTTCTGTCCTCCAAATGAGAAAATGTTGTTCTTTTAGGATATGGCAAATAGTCTTTGTGAACGCTTGGTAAGTAGCGTATTTGCCTTTTAACTTGCCTGATGAAATGTCTAATGATACCGGACGTAAAAATCGAAACATAAAGAAAAAAATACGAGATATCTATTTTCCAGAGATTTTATAATAATTCCCTTATTCATTCAACATCCAGCAATATTGAAATAACGTAGTTAGGTGTTTTCCTTACACGCACTATCAAACTCTCTGTTAATGGTTGTGAGAATTATTTATCCTTACGAAAATCCTATTAGTAATCGGACAGCGCATTATTATTCCAATTTTGTGTTCAAGTTTTATGATAATGATATACTTCAGGATTTTGTCAACGTGTCTTTTCAACACTTCTTAAGAAGACAAGTACCCGACTTCCCAGCCTTAAAATCAGGCTAACCTACACATCGGTCTATTTTCACAGGAATTAACCTTTCCTAAAATGTGCACAAGAGCCCTGAATCGTTTTGGCCACCTTCTGAAAAGCAGTTCCACTACTCCGGTTGGTTCTCACTTGCTGATGCCTTGCCCAGCCACTCGTTTCTTGGGGCGATTGACTTAATTTATTCTGATTCCAGGTATTTTGTGATAAGTGCTTCAATCCTGGAAATCCTTAAGAACGGATGAACATTCCTAAGGAGTACAGATATACCGTGCACATTGCCAACTCGGAATACTGCCACTGCATTGACGGTCATTATTCGCTCAGTTACGCCGTCGCTCTCCTCTCGTTTCGATAAAGACTTACGTATTAACAGAATCACATTCATAAATTAACTATACGCATTGTGTTTATTCACTTACGGTTAGTGATCTATGACTGTCTACGCTTCACATCTGACATGATTCACACACACACGCAATACGGCTGTACGTTTTTGATACAGAAAAACGCTTTACTACTGAAGTTAACGGATTTAATATATGACACCTGACATAAGTCGGATCCGAGAAGACGCTTCTTGAGTACTGTATCACAGCCTAAGGGGTCACTTCTGAAGGAAATATTCTGTAAACAAAGTATTAGGGTCTATTACGTATGGTGTATTTTTTTAGATATATGTACATGTATATGTATATATAACATATATATATATATATATACATATATATTAATGCTGTCTTCCTATACGGTCTTTGCTCTTCTATAAGGCAGAGTCAACAAACGACTCAGCAAGCCACTGTAATCTACAGAACTCCACGTGTCTCCCAAAAATTATGTGTCGTCTTTTTGTAATATAAATGCTTTACGTCGATCTTTTTTACAATCGCTGGCCAATCGTAACAAAACTGCGTCGTAGAACTCCCAAGAGAGCTCTGTCACTGTGTGTAGACCAAGATGGCTGCAAATTATGCATCGATTGATATGATATTCACCGAGAAAGCAGCGGACTTTCGTGCCGTATCAACGTTCATTCATACTCACCCCGAGCTGGCATTTGAAGAGCATAAATGTCATGACTTTCTCGTTGAGAAGCTCAGAAAAAATGGATTCAACGTAATCGCCCATTACCTCAAGTGCGACACTGCATTCAGAGCGACGTACGAGGGAACGCCAGGTATGTAGAATCGTCTTTAGCTTTTCAGAAGTTACATTCCCTAAAGGTTTGGAAAGCCGACCTCAATATAAGAACGCCACTCAAATTTATGTTTGTGGGCTGCGAATTGAAAGATTGATGTAAATAGTTAACTCACCTGCATCATAAAAGGTATGTGCCTGTATTGCTCCAAACGATCATGAGTACACGACCTATTCAACCCGCAAAGGTGCTCAGAGAACTTCACATAAACTCTTGCATACGGCGTATATTGCTAGTTTATATTATTATATCGCTGTTAGGATCTGCTTTCTTAAAGGAATAAACCTTTACTGTTTAATAAGCTGTACTCAAGTGTAACATGCTTTTAGCACGGATTGATGAAGTTCTTTCAGTGCCAAACTCGACTGAAGTTTATCTGTTTGCGCTATTTTGCTAGGATCTTGATTTTCGATCTGTATGGTCCGCCCTAAAAGATATCGGCGATGGTTTGATTACAACTACAACCGCGGCGGCCGTGTCGACGGTACCTTTAAGCTTCTGGCAATACTACAACCATCAGCGGGTCTGTTGGCTGCGGTGTAAAATGATCTACGGCGACATGCCACCCAGCGCAAAAACACCTGGAACAGCTGAAGACTATTCACATAAGAGAGGCGTAGTGCCAGCTATAAAGATAACTTGGCCACCACAGGCATGTATTATGCCCCATTGCTTCAGTAGCGTCCATCAACGATTTCATTCGAATGTTCTTAGCTACTAACAGGGTGCCTCAGAGGGAACCTTCTTCAAAGAGAGCAGCGGGATTGTGCAGAATTCAGAATGAACACCTTAAGGCCGCATGAAAGCTGGCGCAGCGCTGGGCTGTTTTGCTGAATGAGTGTCTTCGTTTCGAGCTGCTTCCTCCTCATTGGCTGAGGGTAACGCTTCCCGTTATTACAAAAGGCAAACGCGATTCAAACCAACTGATGCCTTAGGCCGAGATCTGCTATAAACAAAACTTCTTTCGTATTTGCTGGCAGGGAGACTGTTCCTGGAGAATGCGATACTCAAGAATCAGTGCTGATTCAGCAAGGAGCATTCCACCGAAACAGCGTGCAAGATCCTACTCTCATATATATATATATATCAATATAAAGAGATTTTAAGTAGCCCGGGCTCTACATTAACGTAACGTTTTCGAAGCGAGGTTCGAAACTGCCGTTGATTCTGCTTTAAGGAGTTTAGGTTTAAGCTGACAGAGGCTGGCGTTCCCGCAAAGGTGCTCAACTTAATAGTAGTGACACTCTAGGGAAACAGGGCTGTCCCAAAAATGGAACTGACCATCTAACAAAGCATAACAGGGATTTGGCGGAGTTCCGCTTCATGACACGCCTCGTATCCCTCGAGCTGACCGCTGACATATGTCAATTGATTCGCGTATCTAGAATTACTGACCTTGTATAACGGCTAAGATTTTTCCCTAACATATTACAAAAAAAAGAGCTTTTCTCAATACTTCTTTCTCATCCACGGATCGTTTATTTCAACTGCTTTGCGACTTTTCGACCTCAAAGTTGCGAAAGTTCTCACATACGGGATGGGCTTAATCAGAAACGGTTTCGACCATTTGAACCAAACAAACTTCATTCGAAGAGCCTTGGGATAGGACAACCGATAACAGGCTCGTCTACCTCAAGACGGCCACGCCAATGTTTGTTAAAGACCTCCGTCAACCTATTGGCAACTCCAGCACTTTGAAAAATCCTCGTAAATGGGATAGAAAATTGGCGGAGGGCGGCCTCGATTTCTATCAAAGAAGCGCCATGATGGACGAGATTATACACTACATAGTTCCGACCTTCGCCCATCCAGAGAACAGAGGATTCATAAACCTGATTAATATCATATTTGGACTATATATAAGCAATTGTGTGATCTATTATGCTTTTCGTTACCCACGAGTTTAATGGCTGGGCCTGACTCGATAATTAACCAAAAGAGTAGCAGTGAGGTGGTGTTTGTTGTACAATGATATCTTTGATAGGACCTTGGATCAATTATTCTTGGAGCATTTTTATAACATTAGCTCCAGCCAAGCTAGAAAAGCCGTCGTATGTGTAGAGTATGAGATAGCACAACCTAGTCGTATGCCAGGTTGTGATAAACGTATATATTTAAAGTCTTTCGAATGCTACCTGACAATGAATTAGTTCAATCGATATATCGCTATTGTTTTTAATGGATTCATATAGGAGGACCAACTATATGCGTGATGTGCGAATATGACGCTCTACCAGATGTGGGCCACGCGTGTGGGCACAATTTAATCGCAGAAGCGGGATACGCCGCTGGCATAGGTATCAAAGCCTTTCTTGAAAATAATCCTGACGTGAAAGGCAAGGTGAGGGCTAAAAACAGAGCTACATATTAATTCTCGAGTATGTTTATGTTCATTTATCCAATTTATAACACATTCGCTGTTGTCGGCATATAGTCGCCAGCAGATGTACATAAGTCATAATCTTCAATCAATATTAAAGGCAACAATATAAGAAGTTAGTTCATCGAAAGCCTTATTACACATTAATCATAACTTGCATCGTTCGATGTTCTAATAACACAGCGTAGCGTAGTGAAGTATAAGTGAAATAACTTTTCAGCTTCATAGCTATCTGAACTATAACTGAGCGACATATTCCGACTGGAACTGGTTTAATACTCATAGGAATAGCAGCAATCTATTATAGTACATTGTATCCTTAAAGCTTTTGACGTTGCTCAGAATAGTTGTACGTAGATGAAATGCCCGAAACTGTGTTGAACAGGTTGTCGTTTTGGGAACACCTGCGGAAGAGTCGAACGGTGGTAAGCAAAAACTTATCGATGGAGGGGCATTCAAGGACATCGACGTAGCCATGATGGTCCATCCTTCCAACACCGCCAATGGTAAGCAAGTTTCTACTATGAAAGATCACAGTCCCGCTAATGAGGCTTAACGTGAGGCTAGAAAAATTTCATTATTCAATCCTTATATATATTCATGATAATCATACGATGTGGATTTAATTCGATTTCAGAGGCGACTCCCCTATTTATCGGCGTTAATGTCCTGTTAGCCGAGTTCTACGGCAAAGCTGCTCATGCCGCCGGCTACCCGTGGGACGGCCGGAACGCCCTTGATGGAGCTGTAAGCTGCTACAATGCATTGTCGATGTTGCGGCAGCACTTGAAGCCTAACTGTAAAGTTCACGGTAAGGGTGTTCAGTATACATGGGTCAATTGAACGTATAATAGTAATCATCTACTCGTATATTTAATCTCACTATTCAATGTTGGTAAAGAATTGTGCTTAAGGACCTATTAAATGTAGAACATATCTGTAATTTTAACTCTCTGTAAATAGTAACTATTAAGAGCGGTGGAACTGCGGCCAATATCGTTCCCGATTACGCCTCGCTTATTATAATGTATCGGGCGCCAAGCATCGCTGAGCTAGAGGAGCTGGCAGCACGAGTGGACGATTGCGTAAAGGCTGGAGCTTTGGTCAGCGCCACTAAATCAAAGGTTTCACCCCTGCACTGCACCTACCTTCCCCTCCAGAGCAACGAAACACTGGCACAACTCTACAAGCAGCATTGTGAAATGGACGGTACGGTATATGACATTGAATTTTATCGTACCTCATACATTCAGTACTTATAAAACGCCAAAAGACAGTCATCTGTCGTGGTGTTCCAGGCTAAAAGAAAACTATTCTATGGCTTCAATACATATGGATGGCTATATATAAGGGATTGCTTTCGATGTATGAAGATATAAATAGAAGGTATCGCAAATATGTTTGAATGAACCAATTAGTCAATCATTTCTTTATTGTAATTCGTGAGTTGCGTGACACTGAATTGAATAGTAGCCTGTTGTTAGCCATCATTGTTTGTGCTTTTGAATAGGAATGAAGTTCGACGGAGCCGAGAAATTAGGAACATTTGTGGCTTCCTCTGACGTGGGTAACGTTTCTTGGATCGTACCTACCATTCAACCTATCTTCCGCATCGACGCCAAGGGACCTAACCACTCTGTCGTACGTAATCTAATG